AAGATTTAGAATCCAGTTAAATCTTCGTTATTTTATTTATTAATTTCTATTCCAAGAATAGAATATTTATTATGAAAAAATAAGTAAAATCAGAAATTGAACAATGTCGAAGAGACTTTAGGTATTGTTGGTAAGGTTAATAATGGATGATGAAAAATTTCTGCGAATAACTGTACGCCAATTATGCGATTCGGTATAAATTAACTATCTGAATGAAGAATCTGTATAATAGAAATTCATTAATCCGCTATGGCACTTGATTTCTTTTGCGAGATCTGATACATTCGCTAATTATAGCGAACTAATATAAAGTATAGAACTGACACACCCACGTTTATGAATGAGAACAATTCCCAGAGATCTGTACAGAGATTTTTCTCTGCTTGAGAATTATTTTACATAAACTTCCTTGTCGTGATATTTTCATGGAAATGTACGTTCATAAAATTGATAAGAGACTAATAGCATTCCATGCTATCTAAATATACATATAATATAAACTTTTACAATATAAAAGTTTTTATGAAAAGCCGTATAAATGAAATATTTCCTTTAATTAAAATTTTATTGAACAATAAAATACGAATAAAAATTGTATCGAGTTTCTCAGATGCCAAAATGATTGATTTTGAGAGATCCATTTTTTGAAACATATTACTTCAAAATATGAAATCATGATTAGTTTTTGAACAAAAGAACTATTGGCTTCTGACTAATTTGATTGTAATCAAATTATTTTCATTAAATTTTTAACATGTTTATTTTTAAAGATTTATGAGATTTCTAACATTTAAAAAAAATCTCCTTATTCTGTAATTTTTTAATATGATAAATCAATATCAAACTATGTAGTTAATTAATTTATCAATTAAAAGTTTGAGGAATAAAGAAATGCTTGAATCCTTCACATACATTCATTCTACGCAAATGAACTACAAATTCATAACTACACTAAGTAAACATTAAACATCTATTTATATTCAGTTTAATCTTTCTAAAGAATACCTCTTATTCTTATCGTTCACTTTCGACGAAGAAATATACAAATATCCATCCTACAATCGAACAAAAAATCACCATTCTTCGCGATACAAATTCAATCAATCACTCCAATTACAAAAATCATAGATTGCACGCGATCGATTCGTAAATCGACGGTAATTAAAAATCGATGATGCAGAGCTATTATATCGAGCAGCATGAATTTTTTTCCCCCTCTCACTTCCTTAGGAGAGATTTGTAATCACGTACAAAAATCGATCGCCCATAAAGCGATACCGTAATTATAAAAGCACGAACTTTACGAGGGACTCGAGAGACCCAAATAACAGAACAGTAGTGTATTTAATCCCAATGGTCTGTGTTTAACGTTTCGCTGCGCAATTTGACGAAGAACGGGGCAAAGTGGCCGTGAAGGAAAACGATTTTGGGATCTAGCTCGCCCTATTATTCGAGCGATAATTTAAGGGAAAGCGGGAGGAGGGGAGGTGTGATGTATAGGTAGCGAGTTTATGCAACGCCATTGTCTCGATGGGTACTGTTATTTATGGGAAGGTCTCATCTTCTAAAAACGGAAGGTGCGTGTACCAAGAGAGGCAGCGTGACGCGAATAACGATCGGGTATGGAGGCTGGGGCCCAGTAATTAAAGATTAGCGAGGTGATTAGCGAGGGAACAGGTATTTAAATCTCCTTGAAATGATTTGTCGAGTGCCCATCCCTTCTGCCCAGTCCCCCGCTCAAACAACTGATTGGCGAGGAATCCACGCTATATCCACGATTCTGTGTACCAGTTACCAGGCTATCTAATTACGTTCCAAACGCTTTATGGCGGATATGATAAAATTTAACGTTTGATTATTCGAATGAAATGATTTATGGAAAGCAATGTAGAGTATATATGTCAATTACTTTGATGATTGATGGTCAAATGTGCAAATTTGTAAAATAGGATTCAAAAAAGGATGTTGTAATTTGGAAAGCATAAAAGTCTTAAATAAATCTTGGACTGCAGAAAATAAATTTTTTTTTTTTGTTAAAAAAAGTGTATTAGACTATCAATAGGATATTTTGGAAATGTAAAATAAAATAGAATTGAATATGTAAATTATACTTGAAAAAAGAAGAATTTTTGGAGATATTGAAAAAGAGAATAGGATAAAATTTTTGATTATCTATTTCTGAAACACGCTGTATACACAATAATTTATATGTGGATACGTGTAATTGCTGGATAACTATAGAATGAAATCAACATACTGCTTTGTCAGGAATAGCATACGACGTATCAAGTGTTGAAGTGGTGAAGGATATAATGATAAGGAAATGGCCAGGTTGAATGATGTTCCGTTTCTATCCATAATTTCATCTCATTAAACCGCAACGTGGCTGTTTTCTATACATTAGCAAGTCAATCATAAGCAAACCTAATGGTCAATGCATATTTAACAATATTTTCTTTTTTAACGGTACTTGGTTTCTCTTTACATATCATTACGTTTTAATATATATATTTTTTTTAATTTTTTTCAATTTGATTATTCCTAATAATACATGCTTGATATTTTATGATATACACTTACTCAATATTCTATAAAATTCTAATAAAATTAAATTTAAAACGAAGATTCAAATATTTATGAGATAAAACAATAATCCCTCCCCATAGTATCTGAATATTACATTGAATGCGTTTCTGTTTGACGATAATAAATATTTTTAAATCATTTATTTCTCCAATAATGGAGTCGTATTAAATATTTCGTATGCTTTTTGTGTATCACGAACATAAGAAGCATAGAAGAATAAAAGAAAGAGAAATATCATGCTAATATAGTATATAATTAGATCAATTAGTAATTAATTATATTAAAGATACAACAGGCCGTGTGTTGTGTCATGAATAATTAACAAGTTTCGTGTTTCCGTGAAAAACGCTTAATTAATGATGAAGCTGCGTTAGTCCAGTATAGCAAATGCCACTCACGTACATCGCGTGCTGATCTCGCAAATCCACGAGCTAGACGTTTAACTTGCGACAGATTTTTTTTTCTCTTTCTCTTTCTCTCTCTCTCTCTCTCTTTTTAAGCCGAAATGTCGACGAAACGGACAAACTTTTCAACTTGTTGGCGATAATTGGGGCTAGGAATATGACATATCGTCTTATCACCAGTGTACAAACATTGCCATAGACAGTGACATCGCATATCCGTTTCGTTTAATCGCAAATATATATATATATTTATATATATATATTTATATATATATATATTTATATATATATATTATATTTATTTATTATTATTATTATTATTATTACAAGAAAATTGTTACGTAACATTTTTTCGTAGATGTAAGTTATTCGAAATTGAAATAAAAAAATGATCACTTAAAGTACTTTTATATATGTTCATATATATTTTCTGTATCACGAAATTTGATTCATTTAATTATTTATCGGTTTGTTTGAAGTAATAGTAATTTCAATAATACTTTGATTTTTTTTAAATAACAATGAAATGATTTTATCATTTCTTCATTTATCAAAAGAGATTATATATATAATAAAGAGATTATGATTATTTATATAGACTAACATGCTTTTATTAAATCTCTGTAAATATCTTTTCGATATGAAATAACATTTAATATAAGAATAATATTTCAAACCGCATAATTTTATAACTGCTTATTAGATATTTAAAATATAGAATACTGTATTAATAGAAGACACAAAAACTATTTATGAATATAATTTTATATAATAATTATTTAATATGTTATCTTTTAAAAGAAGAATCACAAATTTCTTGCTGTCACATTTCCTTTATTTATATTTATTTATTTATATTTATTTGCATTAGTCTGAAATAAAATTATTTTATTTTCATTTATTTTACCTATTCGCACAACATTAAATACCGCAATCACAACGAATAATAATGTTTCTTGTGAAAGTCATCATTTCAGATAAACGTTAATTTTAATTCGTACGGTTAAAAATAAATTAAGTTCGAAACTTTCACGAAAATGAGGTTATCCGTGATTACAATTTGTAACACAACGAAGAGATTCGGATAAAACGAACATTAGGCAAAAAAAGTTAAAAAGCGCATATCGTTATATTTAGAAAAGAATAAACCGCATAGTTCCCCAGGGTGATATTTAAAAGTCGACGCCAGTGTCGAAAGTTTTCCCTGCCTTTTCACGCAATTCTTTTCTTGGGAACGTAATCCCACGGGTGACTAACACTGACGCTGACGTTGCTAAGCTTACGTAGAAAGTTTTGTAAGTACTTGTCTGTTTAAGTTATTACAGGATAAATGCTTGTCACCCAACTTAGTAAATCTTGGGAAAGATATGTTTGCGATTTATGCTACGTGATTTCTTTTTATCTGTCCGAGATATTCGTTTGAAATGTTAACAATAATTATTTTAATTGAATCAAATTTTTAAATAATATCTAATGCTTACATCATGCACAATTTAGGAATGTAATGATTGAATTAAAATTTTTTGAAATTTTGAAAATTAACTTATATTCATAATCAATTTTATCGAGCTTTTATCCAAAAAATGAAAACGAAAATTTTAAATAAATCCGATTATTTAAAAGGTAAAATATGTAACTCGTTTATAAATTTCAATTCAATATTCGCAAATAGAAAAAATTTCATTTTTTTTTATTATACGTTCCACTTTCTGAAATTCATGATTTTTTATTAGTAATGAAAATTATTTAAAAAATTTCTAAAATTAAAAAAACAAATTTGTTGTTTTAAGGATAAATATTTTTATGAAATCAAATAAATGCAGGATCATTGACACGAGAATTGTCAATTCTTTATCTTATCCGTTGAAATTATAAAAAAATTCCAAGGAAATTCCAAGTTATTTTCATTATTTCTTTTTATACTTCCCCTATCAAGTCATTTGGAAATATATCTAGCAATGTATTAATAGAAATTCTAGCATGAAAATTATATTTTCTCTTTATTTCCAGGAGTGCGAGGACTTAAGAATGTATCCATCGATATTCCATTGGCCGTAGCAGATGGCACCACCGTCAATATGAGTTGCGGATACGATCTAGAATCAGATACTTTGTACACAGTGAAATGGTACTACAAACGTTTTGAATTTTTTCGATACATTCCTAAAGAAATGCCACCTACAAGTGCTTTTGGAGAATTGGGTAACAAAGTTCTCGTAAGTATTCATTACAATTTTCTATTCGTACTTGCAAATTAAATATTACATTAAATAGTACTATACTTCATTCGTATGTAACTGATGATTAAAAAATAATATCAATGAAATTTCTTTTTTTCTTTTTGATTATTTTATATTTATCATGTTTTTGTTATATTTATAAATTAATGATATGTATTTCGTTACTTTTAATTAAGAATTTTTTGTTTACGAATAACTGGTTGCTTCGTTATTAAAATATGTAAAGATTCGTGTAAATTAAAAAATTGAATCTTTTTTAAACGCGAATAACTAGTTGCTTCGTTAAAATTCGTTAAAATAAGGCGGTTTCACAACAGTAATCCACTGGACGCTACTCAGAGAATTGTCGTCGAGTTATTTCGAGCTAGGAACACCTTTAGAATTTCTTACTTATTAAAAGTTGGAAGGCGATTCTGTGCGAATCACGTTTTACACTCGCACCTGACGTGCAATCGTTGAGAACCGAGGAAACGGAAATGAGTCTCTCAAATTATATTTCTCCAAATTCGCCAAACCATGAAAGTTTGTTACCATTCATGCCCTACTTTATTATATAATTATATTTAACAAACTATACATACTGGTGGTACCACGTATTTTAACTTTAATTAAATGTATTCCCTATTTTTCGTGCCATGAATTATGCACATATGTATGTGCATAATTTTCATTGTAATCTTTGCGTAATGAACAAATTAATTATTTTGTTAAAGATTTCGTACTGGATTCGAAAAAATGGGATATATCTCATTGTTATTACATGTTTGATATTCCTTTTTATAAAATAATCGAGGGAATTATAAGAACAATAATTTTAAATCTGGTCCATGATATTAATATAACGATCATGAAATATACATTCATTAAATGTACATATATTTATGGATAATTATCCATAATAATTATGTAAAAATTCTACAAAGAATATTTTATTAAAAAAAATTTTTTTTTTTAATTCGATATAAGCAAAAATTAAAAATATTAGAATATTCTTCTGTTCTATTAGAAAAGAGCAACAAGAATTATTTTTGTTACAAACCTTTCAAAAGGAAATATCTTTGTCGTTGAAATAACTAAGATATATTTGAAATCATTATGTAAACTATTTAAAAAAATATAAATAATTAGAAACATTTGAAAAATAATCTCTAAATTCAATATAAATTGATAGTGGTCGACCGATCTTTTTATTTAACTTAGAATTTAAACAAGAAGAAGTTAAATCGACATTTTTAAGGGAATTCAGACGCATAGATTTCATTTTGATACGATCGATAGAACGTTAAATTTTCGTCAGTCGCATTCTAATTTGCTAAAAGCATTCACAAACATTGGTGACCAAGCAAAATGTACCGTTGCTACGACCGGCTGATCTGGAAGAAATCCTGATTAGTTGAAACTATTCGAAGCTTCCGGGTGTAAGCTGTGTTCTTTTAGACAGTTTAATTAATCTAACGAAATCTGGGAACAATTCTCTGGATTGATTCTACAATTCTAATATATTAAACCAATAAATAAATTGCTTAATTAATTCTACCATTGAAATTAAATTAATTCTGTATATATGAATCTTTTATTCTTTCATTGTATTGATACAAAAACATATGATTTTTTATTTATACAATAAAAACTGATTTTGTATGCACATCCAAATTGATAACTTATCTTTGTAACAATGATAAAAAGCAATTGTCTAAAACTCATTTCTTGCATACTATCATCAGATAAACATCTTATAAGAAAGTAAATAAATAGAACCTGTTTAAAAATTCATTTCTATGTTTATCGTAGAAAATTTATATTGTACTTAACGTTTGCAAGCATATTATATATTTACGTTAATTATTATTTTCAAATAAATATAAATAATAAAACATATAATAAAGTAATACGTATTATTAAATAAAGTAAAAATCCTATTCATCCTAGCAACTTCTAAGAAATTTCAATATTAAATTATATGAATAATCTATATGTTTCACGTAAACAAGAAACATCTAAAAATTGAATATCTATGATTATACTATTTATTAATATAATTTTCTAATAATTTTTATATTATTTTAAGTAAAAATATAAATAAAATATATAATAATATTTTGAATTTATTTTTTAATTCAGTCATATCATTTACACGTTACCATATCACATCACAGATAAATTAAATATAACGTATTACACGATAATTAATAATATTATACATTAAATATCGCGTTCAGATATCATTAATCAATAAATTATCGTGCAGAACCTGATACCTGAAAACCGTAATACCTTATAAAACACACACATGCTCGAAAGCAAACCAACTGTTTAAATTACCATCAAGCTACGAGTACATTACGTACGCACATCTTATTAAGTGAAAGCAAAGAGGAAACGTAAATGAAGGTATAACTGAATTCTGTCGTTTATTCTCTTGCTCAAGTAACTAAAATCATTTTCCCGGCCGGAAAAATTATTCTCTCATTTCGAAGTCTCATTACGTTGATAATTTTTCCACCGCGTACCTGTTCACGTGAATCCATTGCCCGTTACGCATACATTGTATCGTATCGCGAGGCCTAAGGGATGATGTGCGGCTGCAACCGCGCGAAACAAACAAACGAACGAAGGGAACGAAGGGAATAGCATAGGGTTGGGTACGACTCGTATTTCACAAACGGTAACATTATTAAAATTATCAGTGAGCCGGGATGAATTTATGCGTAGCCGTGGCCGGCAGCAGAATTGTCGAATCGATGAGAGATGCGCGATGGTGTGAAATAGTATGTACAGCCATGCATCGATGCGTGACTGCACGTCGATCGCCCATCGCCGATCGAATCCCACTTATTTTCGAGCGAAACATTTCATCCGCAATTCCGCTCAATCCGTTTTTCTACCAATCCGAAGTAATTCTTCGAACGCATGAAACAATAGTTGGCGGTGTTGTGTTTTCCACTTACGATGTGAAATTACACGCTCGATTCGTGCGTACGGGCACGACGATGAAAAATCTTGCATCAAGATTTCTTACGAGTAGTTAACCTCCGAGCGAAACTAGCCACTCTTGCTTGCTTGCTTGCTCCGATGGAAATTATTATTTCTTTCCATTCTTTCCATTTGTAAAAAAAAAAAAAAAAAAAAAAATGGAATTGGAATGTTAGAATTACTTTTGGATTGCATTGCGGATCGTTTTAGGTTACATTGTTGTATTGGCTAGATTTAGCTTCAGCTTTTAATTTCGAGTGTATACTGAAATATTTGAATGTATTATAATAAATATTGCATTTATTATAATATTTATGTATCAATTAATTCGATCCAAGTTTATTATTAAATTTCATTGTTTCATTTAATTACAGAAACTTGATGAAACTGCGAAAAATGAAATGTAAAATCTGATAAAAAAAGGAATAAAGCAAGTACAAATAGTTTTTGTAGCTTTCGTACTTTCTTCTATTCGAGCACGATTTCGAAATATTTTTTTTCGATGAAGATTAAGAATAAAAATTCTGGCGTTTTTTTTTTTTATTGCTCCCTAATTGCTTCCTAAGCTGGATTTACATTGATCAACATAAGTTTAAGTTTGTTTTATCTGACTAAAATTTAGCTTGCGCAGTTGATTTTGATCAACTTGAAGCTGAATTTGCTTGTACAGTTAATATAAACGCGGCTTTAACAATGTTGCATTTATGCATGATTTATAGATTGGTTTAATATTAACAATTTTGAAGATTTTCTTAAAAATACAATTAGATCAATTAGAGAAAAATTAAAAATGATATTTCTATTATTTTCATGCGATTTTAAAATATTTGTTAGAATTATACTTGGAATTTTTATTTTTTAATTTTGTTGGTACTGATATTAAATTTTCATCCAATCATAGACCGATATTAGCTATTTTTTATCTAAACACCTCTTCGATTATATTTATGTTATTATTTTTCGTTGTATATGTAATTTTCTTTAAATTTTACCGTTAATAAATAATGATAAAAAATCCAATTTGAATTTTATATTTACTATTATAAGAATACTAAAATATTAAAATTAAATTTAGTATTGGAATTGCATCTTTAATGCAATTTCAAGAAGACCACTGTAATTATAGAATTATATACGATAATTATATTAAACTAGAATTATGAAATTGAGAAAATAAAAGGATTAATAATAAAAATTGCCCTCGTTAAATTTTAATTCACTATCCAACCTCATGATCTAATTAGATATAGTGCCTTTCCAACCACCTATGGCAATTGTGCACAAGTGTATGATGAATATTCTTTAAAGAAAATTTAAATTGATAAAAAAATAAAACTTCTAATTATTCAAATAAACGGAAAATAAAAATAAATTAATAAAAGGCTAAAATTGAGAAGGGAAATTTTTGTTACGAACTTTTTAATTATCAATATAATATTAATTACAAACAAAATATGACCGGCTATTAATAAGCACAAAGTCAAATTTTTTAATTATAGTGTACTAATTATTATTATAAAAATGCATTTCGTTTCATTCAAAAATCAAATTTCAAGTGACTCGAAGTGAATCAGCTTAAAAAATTAATCTAATTACAAATCACAATACACAACAAAAAACTTACGATGTAAAAATTTTTATCCAAGAGATAAAATATATATATTCTGATAAACTGTATGATATCCGTTGAAAAAACTCCATCAACCACAATCAATATAAAAAAATCGAATATCAACGTTATCAAATTAATAAATTCCATATCCTCTCCATATCTCCTCTCCGTTGTCATCAACATCTCTTTCGATGGAAAAGCGACGAGGGGTTAAGCGAAGATAATCGTTCGACGATTGGCAAGTTGGATCATGAGAATGTTCACACCGTAAGCGCAACACACCACTCGATGAAAATTGATTGTGTGATTTATACGCTGCCACTGGCAACATGTAATTAATCGTTGTTGTGAGGTATTGTTTGTCATGAACGGGCGAATGTGCGAGGATGTCAAAGGGAACGAGTAAGTGCGATCGATTTGCAATAAATGGTACGTATCCTCCATCCCCCTCCCCTCCCCCCTCCTTCCCATGATCATCGACGCTTGAATTGACCCGGTCAGGCCGCTGGTATGGACGACGAGTCGCGACGCCACCGATCGCTTCATATCGTTTCATATTTTTCAATTTTAATTTAATTACACGGTATCAATTGACGGTGACGCGCAAAGGTGAAAATATTCGTGTTTTATCATCGTGGCCATCGTCCCGTCGAATTTTATTTAAATTGCGCCAATAAGTTATGCCCGGCGTGAAACAATTATCTCGCGTTGTAGGTGGATGGACACGATGTTTCGGGATTTATATTTAATTGAAACAGATTCAATAAATTGGAAATCTTTTAAATTTGTTATTGCACGGCGGTGAGAACATGTTTGCGAGAGCATTTTATCGGACGTGCGTCCGATATTGACATTTGTAACGAATGTAAAAATAACTCGTCTCTGAGAGAGAGAGAGAGAGAGAGAGATTGATACGTTATAGAATTTTGAGATATACGTTTATTTTTTTTCTTTTTTTTTGGAATTTTTTTTATTTCATTGTGCTTCGTTTATAACGTTGTGACTGTTTTTTTTTTCTTTTTTTCTTCAATTATCCATTATTACTACGATTCTCTCTATTTTTTGTAGTTAATTAATTTTCGTTAATGTTACTTTTAATTACGTTACAGTTAAATCAAAGTGATGCTCATCGCGTAGTTTTAAGGGACTTGCAACCAAGCCACACTGGAAAATATCGCTGTGAAGTTTCTGGCGATTCCCCATCGTTTACTACTATAACGGTCGCCGCTTACTTATATGTTGCTAGTAAGTATCATAATATTTCATTTATGTTAAGAAACAATAAAAATTAAATGGTTTCTAATAATTTTATAATTAGATAATCAATTATTTAAAATTTATTATCCTGTTAAATATTACTATCATTATTATCCTGTTAAATCATCAAACATTAATAAACAACTAAATCGAATTTTATAATAATTTTATAGTAATAATTACGTGACCGTTTATCTAAAATTTATTTACCTCGTTGAATGCTATTTAAGTTAAAAAAAAGAAAAACTAATTATTTTATACTGTATACTTATAATAAATAGATTTAAAGTTAATATAATTTTTTTGCTTTTTCTTCGAGCAAGTATGAAAAAATATAATAATGAGTTATTTCTTCATTAGTATGCAAACTCGCAATTATGAAGTCATTTATCAAATAAAAATATATTCACACTAAGGCTGTGAAAAGGCATTAACAGCCTCCGATATCCACGGTATCTGCTTACGCGTGATATAAATAATGCAGCCAAGGGGGATAATTTGTTCGTAAGGAACATTAAGAAATAGTAAAACAGTGCAACATTAGTGCTCGTTTAATATTCCTAAAAAATATGTAAAATGAAGTTCTCCTTGGAATACGAATTATATATATAAATCATCGCTTCTTAAGGGTTAGATCATTAAGCGTTTCCTGGCTCATTTAATATTTTTATATCCTCACCTAATCCATATCAACATTAGTTAAATAAATCTATAATATTTTTTTCTCATTTTACCACGATAAGATAAATAATACGATGATACAATACAATTATCAAATATCCATTTGTTTCCTTTACTTATTTACCGATCTCCAGTCTTTTTTTCTTGTAAAAATGAAAACCGTTCCGAGTGAAATTAAAAACAACTTTAAACGCGGAACAAAAGCCGTCCAAGTAATAAAATCGAGAACGACGAATCGGTCTCATTAAATCACCGAATACGCTTCTTTTCATTTAATCATCCATCTTTCACAGCTCTCTTAACCGAGTTACTGTTAATTAACAGCCCCATTCTAATAAACATAACCTCGCTCGCTTCTTTTCAATATCATTTCACCTACTTTCCTCGCGCGAATTGATCCTTTAATACGCACTATTAACTTTCAATGAAAAAAAAAAAAAAAAAAAAAAACATTGAACGAGAAACGCACGAAGCACATTCAAATACCTGTGACAAGTCCAAAGAACCGGATCGTGACCCATTATTTTTTTCTTTCTTTTTCTTTCTTTTCCTTTTCCTTTCATCGATTCGACGCCGATGTCATCTTCGACTCTTGCCAGTTATTTCCCCATTGATCATTCCACACGATGAGCTACTGCGGTTAATTGAAACGCGCACGATTCGAGGAGGAGGGAGTGACGAATCGAGACATAGAAAAGGGGAGGAGAGGCGGGAGAAGAGAAAAATAAAAAGGAGAAAGAAGATACGAGAAAAGGATAGAATATCGTGCCTCGTTCCCACCGTCTCGCATCCTCGTTGAACGTCGACTTAACGACGCCACAACCACGGTAGCGATTCCTCTTTGAAGAGACGAGGTGATTGCCTCTCCTTTCCGATCACGGATCGCTCGTAAAAGCTCGATACTGGATCGAGCCTTCGAATCTCGCCTTGTATCCCTCAAACCTTCCTCCCTTTCTCTCTCTCTCTCTCTCTCTCTTTCTCTCTTCCACTTTTCTTCCTTTTCTCCATTCTCACGAGACAGGATGATCGTCTCGCATCCACAACATTACCAAACAAGTTCAAAATGGTAATCTTCGGCCGATCGTGTCCTTGAGAGTGTGCGAGAGGAGAGAGACGAGGGACTTGGAGATACTCAGGCGGAAGTCATTCGAGCCGAAGTGAGACAATTCTTTGACAGTTCGCTACCGGTACCAGGAAATTGACTGCCTTCTGTGGACGGCATAATGATCCCTCGAGATGTACAATGACGTGTTACGTATTCGGAATACCTCGATGTAGCGTAGCTTCGGCGAAAATCGTTCAACAATAGACTTCCTATCCGTTCTTGAAATGTACGAGGATGATGCGAAAAAAGGGAAAAAGTAAATCGGATCGAACGACGTATCGAAAGATATTCCAACAATGTATATGTTCTGTTAATAATAATCGGTGCAATTTTATAAACATGAGTAAATGTACCGTTGATATAATATTCATTACATTTATCTAAAACTTGAAATTAGGTGAATATAACTTGTTATTTTAAAAAGTAAATTATTTATTTATAAGAAGCAAATATCTAACGAATATATTTTTTCTCATTGTTAGTTTATCGATGTCCTATACGCTAATGAAGTTTGACATATTGATCGAGGATATATTATAATTATCATAGAAGATAATTATCAAATAAGATTTTTTTGTTATTAAATAATTCAATGAATTTCAGATTTACCAAAAGGGGATCCTCAAATTAGAGCCGAAAAGATACGCTACGCGGTAGGAGACACGGTGCGTGCAAATTGCACCGTTCCTTCGGGAAATCCTCCGGCGAATGTGACATGGACTGTGAATGGAGTACAGGTGAGCTTATTAATATAAAAACTTTTAAGCGTTGATAAGCTGCCATTGTTATTTGAATCAATAAGTTACTTTTGCTATGCATTTATGTTATATTTTATTACCCTATACGAATTTTATTAGTCTAATTAAATGAATCAAATGATATTAAATAAAACTATTAGATGTAACAATTACTAGATAAAAATTAAGAATATCGAAATTTCAACCTAAAGTTATTGCGTATTATAAAAATTAATAAATTTAAATTAAATAATTATTCATAAAAGGAAGAAATAAATAATTAAAATAATAAAATCTAAGATTCTTGAAAATCTTTTGAAATATTTTTTATATTTTTCACAAATGATTTACCGTAATAAATTCTTCAATTTTAAGATCTTTTTGGAATACTATAAATACAAATGAACGTGTAAGAAAAATGATAAATAATTGTAGGTAACTGAATTTTATATGCATCTTAAATATTCTTTCCGCGTATAGATACACACAACAACTCATACCTATATCAATGTAAATCACATGTGTCTTTAATTTGAAATACCGGTCTCCAATTATATAATTCCGGTCTGATATTTGCTGTTCTCATAAATTTACGATATGTCAATGATAATTGAAAAATGAGAGATAAACTTCAAATTTTAAATTTAAAATTTCCGCATATAAATATGTAATTATTAAATAAAAATTGTCAAGATGAAAAATGCGAAAAAATTCTTAGTTTCATAAATAACAAAAGAACTGCGACGTAAATGTGAACAAATTATAGTTAATTGTTTATAATTAAATTCAAACAAATATTCGAAATGTATATATCATTAATAACATAATTTGTTCACCAAAAATTGATGATTATTTATAAATTTAGATCTATACTTTTCATAAACTTTTTTTTCATAAACTCATCTAAATACCTATAATTTATTTTAATAACTTTATTACGATTGAATAATAAAAAGAAATAAAAAAGATTATTGTTTCTATCTAAATAATATATTATTATTCTACTTAAAAATTACATAAAAATCTATATTCAATGCTAATTTTGCAAATTTCGAATAATTCTATCAAGAAAATAATTAAATGGAATATAAAAATTTAAAAATTCATTATTCTCTTATAACATAAAGCATTTATATTACCTTTTAACATTATTTTCTAATAAATATTCTATTTAATAATAAATATTCTATACACACAAAATTAAAAAATGCATAAATATCAAAATCATCAAGTTTCACATATAATTTTCTACCTTTTATTATATGAGGTCAATTAAATGTATGTAAGCATTAACATAATTATAAGAAAAAAAAAAATATTGAGAAAATATATGGAATGTGATTCATATCAAATATAATAATACCGTTATAAGTGTCAAAAGTCACTGAAAAAATTATTCTTAGTTTAGTCATTTTCTAACTTTTATTCGATACAAAGTAACAATTTGAAATTATTTACGGATTTCCTAACAATCCGCTAAATATTATACTTGTAAAAGAATATACCATAAAATATTCATAGTCTCTTTAAAAAAGATCATAATAATGTCTATGGTATAATCGAAAAGCAGCAAGTACTGTTACATACTTATGTATAGTATTAAATCCTATCCTGTTTATTTTTCTTTCCTTTCGCGTTCCAGCAATAATATATGCATGTTTTAATAATGTTTTCCTGATTTAAAACATTTTCTACATCATATTTATATATCTTTCATTCTACAAATTTTATTTTATTGCAAAAAAAAAAATACGATAATAAGAAAAATATTTTATGTATACATAATAATATTTATACATAATAATAATCTAAGCCTAATTATTTTAAACTTCAGAAAAAAACACACTAACTCTTTTCAATAATTATTTATATTTGATATAATTACTCTACACCTGCATTTAATATTATTTCAATGTAAAATGTATCTAAACATTATTAAATTTTTATAAATTAAATTAATTCTATTAAAAATAAATATAATCGCGAGATAGAATTAATATTATGTATTATGTATTGAATTACTTAAATGTACATATAATTATTTTACGAATAATTACATATACATTTAAAACATATTATATATAACGCTCAATTAATTTTGTATTTGATTTTATCATCAATGTGAAGTGAAATACGATGAAAAGATATATTCTTTTTTATCATTTGCATTTCACATTTTATAAATAAAATTTTATATTTCAGGTAAATTCCAGCTTCATGATGAACATTACGGACAAGTTTGGTGACAATCAGCAATTGATGACTATCGCAGGATTGGACTTCGAGACTATACAAGATAGCTTTAACAACGGAAGATTACATATTGTTTGCAATGCTAACGTCTTTCATTTGTATAAAAAACAAGCCGATGTTATTTTGATCGAGGAACGGCCACGTCTGGCATCAGTATTAGGAACCCGAGAATCTTCTTATATTGGTACATCTTCTAAATCTCTTTTCAGCTGATCATTCATAATATGCACAATACTCTCTTTTGATAACCGGATATAGGCATTGTGCTGTTCAGATATTCGAGATATACACAAAAATGTATCTTTTTATTTTTACCAATAACGACCATTGTAAATTGTAACAGCTAGTAAAAGACGAGAAGGGATTAATACGTTCAATGCGACAAATCAAAAGGAAATCAAAGGAAATATCCGATGATGGATATTGATTTTTCAGAAATAAAGAAACAGTTGTAAAACGAAAAACGACAACGAAATTCAAAACAGCTGTGTATATTGATGATAACATTTGTATTGAACGCGTATGCAAAAGAAAAGCCGGATATGCAGAAAACCTTTTACATCTCTTACATTTGGGAAAATATGATGCGATCATTCGACATCATAGATTAGAAAATTTTTATAAAATATACGTTCACATTACCTATATTCAATATTAATTAATAGAATTATTTGTATGATGAAATCAATGACTATAGTTGTTATAACAAATTTTATAATTTATGATATAAAAATATCTTTGCTTGATTGCAATTCCGAATGATACTAATTAAAATGAAACTTAAAAAATTTGGAGATAGACAAAAGGTGGACAGAAAGTAATTCTGAAATTCTTTCTTCGGCAATGCATGCATTCCGGAAGATACAAATTATATCTAATATAAAGAGCGATGGATAAATTTTAAATACGAATTTACGAATTCAATACGAAAAAATTTTCTCTACATAAATGTTAAACTATATCTTTTATTCTATTTTTTGTTTTATAATTTTTTTTCTTTTCTTCTCGATAAAATATATAATTCCAAAATTATTTTTATATTATTAATATTATTAATAGTAATCATCAGTAAAGTGCGGATATTCATGCATTTATACAAAATTTGAAAGTACAAAAATGTACAGTACAATACAAATGCATAACATAATAAGAAATGCAAAATATCTAATTATTATTAAATTATATTATTTAATTAACATTTATGATATTTGAAGTAATGAATATTTTGAAATATGAAACAAATATCCATTCAAGCCCTACTTTTTAAAAATTCGTATAAAAATTTGATTTCGCATAAAATCAACAATAATCAAATATAAAAAGGTTTTTCGCTGTCGATAATGAATATCGGCAAAATAAAATTCCCCCATCGATAATAGTTATCGGTAGTCGAAAAAAATTACCATTATTAATATTAGTTACCGATAACCAAGAAATTTCCATCATCGGTAATAGTTATTGATAAACAACAATTTAATTATTTATCATAATAAGTACATTTTATTTTTTTTAAAAATTTAATAATGGTTGTTTTCTGTTTAAATAAAAATTAACTTTTATTGAATGATTTGCAAAAAAAAATTAAAAACCTAGTAAAGTCGTAAGAGATACATAAAAGAATATTATTTATAGTGTATTGAAAAAATTAATTACATTTACGTCAAAATATCACGATATACCTAACTAAACTACTAAACAATACTATTAAATAAATACATTCGATTTCCTTTTCTATTCTATTCAAATAATTCATTAACTAAATCTTCAATTAATCATGAAATTAATTTTTAAAAAATGTTTTATTAAAGACAGTATTAAATATTATAGACTACTTTTATACTATTTTACTTTAACATAAGGAAAATAATAATAAAATTCAAAAAACATAAACAAAAGTAAAAATAAAAGTTAGATTTTATTTTAAATAATACGAAAAAATTCTAAAAAAAGAAATTGAATAATATTGAAGATTTTTTTATTTCTTTTTTTTTGATTTGAAAAAGCTATTTTATACAGCTATTTTTCTTTCAAAAAATTCCGTGTGAAAAAAATATGATTTTAAAAAATTAAAAAATCAAAATGTAATTTATTTCAAATTTTTGATGAATCATATATTTTGTTAATATAATCGTATAATTCTATTTCTCTGAAAATGTTAATAAATAAATAAAATAAATTCATAAACAAGTAAAAATAAAAATATAAAATCTATCTAATCCAATTTAAACATTATTAATTATAAAAAAAAAATTTGTTCGCGTCAGTAATTAAGATATTGAATACTATATCAAAATTAAATCTTTATAATTATTTTTATTATGTATCGTTACATGATATATGAATTTATATTGTTTTTCTAATTTCAGGGCATGCATCAACGCAATTCACACAAACTTCATTTGAAAAATGGTTTATTGCCTCAACTGCTCTGTTACTACGCCACTTCAGATAACAACGATGAACCTGTTATTCACCCAATATGCATATGACTGTATTGAAATGGAGAGGGCAAATTGTTTGTAAAATTTTAAAACTTAAGTGAGACGAGGAAAGAACGACAAATTTTTTGGTTAATATAAATATCGACCGTATGTTATTCGTGTAAATAGGATAAAAAAATTAGCTAATTATCTACGTGAAATTGCGACCTGCGCTGTCTCATTGGAATGAGACAAATTTATAATCTAAATAACATGTCATAATATTATGTATTAGATTGACAAAGTGTCGCGCCAAAGTGTTCGAAAATTTATTTCAATACTATTATACCATGTTTTCTATCCTCTAACAATGATTTTGATACATTTAAAGAATCTTCCGTAAAATATAGCTGCCAGAAATATATCATCTCACGTTTATAGGTAAAAGCTGTTATTGTTTGTGAATAAAGTTTTACTTAAGTGAAAAACAAATAAATAATTCACCTCTGTTATTTTTGTTTTTCTCTTCCTTAAAATTATTTCTATTCCATTTTTTCCTTATTTAATATTCCTGATTATATTGTTATTAAGCAATATTAGTTTGTACTTTAAATATAAAATTATATATTATTGATAAAAATGTGTATATGCATAAAATTTGTTATATTTAATAAATAATATATGTATATATATAAAAAAAATGGATAATATCATAAAATAAAATTTAAAGCATCTTATTATTATTAAATTTAATCTTCCTTTAAAATTCTCAAAATAATTATTATCCTAACAAAAAATGTACAGAACAATGTAATTTAATGACAATACAAATACAAATTTGTACAAATAAAGAGCAAATTACATAAGAGCATTTAATTTAGAAACATTAGTGTTTTCATTCTTAATCTTCTTTCGGCACTTGATTTTGAAGTTTCATTTCTATTACATCCACAGTTGCATCTCTAACTTTACTTTTCTCAAGGCCCAATTGTTGAATTTTTTCCATTTGTTCGGTAACATAAGCTACTCTTCTATCAAAGTAATCCTTTGCATCTATAACTTTTTTTTGAGCATAATAACCAGTTCCAATATCAATTAGAACATTATCAGTTTCTACTAGTTTTCCAACTACGTACATCGAGCCAGTTAATGGCACAAGAATTTCGTTTCCTTAAAAGAAATTCAACAATTTTATTAATATAATATAGGTTAAAGATTCACATTTTCTAACCTCTAAGAAAATATTAAAAAATTAAACATTAGAACTTATATAATTTTTACATTAAAATTTATATAATACAAAATTAATTAAACTTACCTTCCAAAGATGGGCTAATTTTTTCAAGACATGAACCTGATTCTTGAAACTTACTTTGAGCAATTTTTAATGTTTGTAACGAATCTTGGAAAACACCGAGTTCTTGATCTAATTGCTGTTTTAACATTGTAAGTTGTTGAAGATTTAAGGTTGTTAAATCTATTTTTTGTAAATGTGGCGTTTCTGTCATCGAAACTTCTGACATTTTAAATTATTTACTATAAAAATTAATCGAAATCAACGATTTTCCGCACACTCTAACCGTATATCCAAAAACGGTCAACACTGGAGATAAACTCATATGTTTAATCATTAGTTTTAAACATTACTAGATGGCGCAGATGTATCTATATTACTAGTGACATCTTAACTTAACAAAACTAACTATGAAAAGAAACGACATTCTAAGAGACTATGTATCTTTTGTAGTAAATCATATTTTTAGATGTTAAATTATATAAAAATTAGTAGCATTTAAATTAGAATATGAATTAAAATATATATTACAATTATTCTAGTGTTCTTTTTATATTTATAATATGTTATCGTAGCTTTGTTGTCTATTATATAGAGATTATATATTAATTCCGCGTCCTATGTTCTTAAATATCGACGAAAAAACAATGTTTGTTACGCCATCTGTGATATACTGGAATCAACAAAGAAACTATATTCATTTTATCATCAAAAAGAAAAAGAAAAAAAAGACATAAACATTACAAAAAAATCCTCATTTTTTATAGAATACAGCAATAAGCTACGATAATATATTATAAATATAAAAAGAATACTAGAAAAAATTATAATAAACATTTCAATTCATATTCCGATTTAAATGCTATTAATTTTCATATAATTTAATAACTAAAAATACAACTAAAAATACAAAAAAACATTCCTTATAAATACTTCTCAATATAAGCTTCGCAAAACAGTCAATCATTGATTTTGCAAAACAAATAATAAAAGAAGTTATAAGCAAAACTTATGCGATAAATTACACTCGAAAATAAAATTATAAGATAATCTAATTGTATATAATTCTATATAACAAAACTACAAATAACTACAAATAAACTACAAATAACAAATACTATACAAACAACAACAACAAATACTATACAAATAACAAATACTATATAAAACATAATACATACTTCATATATATATCAATATTTTATATATTCATTGTCATGAAAATATAAAAAATTGATATTTAAAATTTAAAAGCAAAATAAAAATGCAAAATTACGTAACATATTATTGACCACAACCATTTTTAATTTCAACAGTATTCATAATAATATCATTACTATTATATTATATTCTATTAATTATATTATAATAGTAGTAATATTACTATTACTATTATTGTACATGTTATTGTACATGCAATCACATATATTCCACCCAAAGCAGCATTTCTATAACAGCAGTTCTAAAAGCCATCTACTTACATTCTAAAACTTTTACTACCTTTATTCTAAAATTTCACGATTCTTTAAACTTCACTAAACTTAAAAAATATCCTAATTGATAAAGATAATTTCGATTCTTAAGAAGAAACATCATCCTAGTCTTCGAATACGATTCTCAAGAAGAAAATTATATCTTAAAATATTCTCATCTAAGCCTACAATTTTTTATAGTTTTTATCCACTAACTAAATAGGTTGTGTAGTACAAATTTAAAAATACAATTTTCCCATATATAAAAATTTTAGAGAGCCTATTTAGAGAAAAATCTCAATAAAATGAAGGGAATTACACAAAACACAATTATTCTTTATTACTGTGTACTAGTATTCTATTGTATACTAGTACAGTCTTTAAAAAAAAAGGGAAAAGGATTAATAAAAATTATACAAAATATACTTACTTTCGAATTGATGAAAACTTCGAAAATTATATTTTCTCTAAACATAACTAATAATTAATATGAAACGTTACTTATTTAGAAGATCAATATAATTAAAAAAATAATTAAAAAAAAGTAAAGAGCGATTCAATAAATATGACTATGGAATAGTAACAAAAATAAAATGTTATAACGAACATTCACAATTATTGCCAAAAGATTTAGTCAAACGAATTTAAATTAGACATTTTAAAAGATTTGGAAAAGTTCTCAACAATGACAAAGAGAAATATACTTACATGTTACAGCAAACGCAGAATGTGAAAAGAATTGCTGAAAAAGGAAACAATTTAGTAGCCAGAAGGGCTACAAACAAAAATATCTTCTACTCGAAATAAATTCGAACAATAAACCGCGAGTGGAATATTCATTTCGTATCGCAACACTAATAAACTAATATTTTTTTTAAAAAATAGAAAAATTACTATATCAATCACGATTGATTTAATACATTCCGATTTAATACATTAATTAATTTACAAAAAAATTGACAAAAAAAAAATGAAAAATTCCCGGATATAATCGATTATTTACGCAATATTACCATTTAAATAACTCGAATTTAAATAAGGCAACACTAGTAACGAGAAATTCAGTGCAGT